TTTTTAAAATACCTGTTGTGTTTGATGGAAAAGCAAGAAAACAGGAAAAAAAAATGCAAGGTCTCATGCAGCAACACTTAATGTGTGCTTTTGCAGCCTGTGTTATCAGCTCTATCAGCTCATCTGAAGTCATGACCGCAAAGAGTGTGTGGAGCACTTAATAGCTCTCATTGCCCGACCCTTGCTGACTCAAAAAATCACCTCTTGTTTAAAAGCATGTTTATATAGGTATTGTTATTTATATTTATCTAGGTATTATTTGCTCAGAGCTTTTGAAACTTGGAAATTCAGCTCTAGAATAAAAAGTATGGTCTTACTGTTTTGTTGTTCAGTATGTTTATCTTGTTTAACACTGCTCAGATATTAGACTTCCCTTTAATCACCAACCAAGAAACAGCTTTCTAATCTAGGCTTACAATTTGTCTCTGGATTTTGAAAGTAGAAATTAAAATTATGCAGCAACCAAGGTATGTACATTATACTCTCCCCTTTCCATTAATTTCTCTGTCATGGCTCTAGACTGCCAGAACTTGACACTGGGGCCATTTATTCCCACCCCTGACTCATTCTGCAATATATACTACAAAAGTGCTTCATATTAAATATGTTTCAAAAAACCAATGTGCTCCAGCGAAGTACTGAGCACATTTTTCCTGCACACTGAGTTGGCCTGAAAGCTATCTTCCATGCTACCGTTTCCACAGAACCATTCCCAAAGGCCTTGAACTCTTACCTGATATTTCTGATACCACCTTTGATCTTACTGTGTTTCTACTTCTCCAAGCATGACATGAAAGCAACATTCCTGTATTCTTTTACATTTGAAATCAGCTATATTTCAAAGCTCTGATGTCAACAGGACAACTTTATATCATCTCCAGTTAAACATATCTGCTCAACAGATGTGAAACAGATCTTTTGTTTCACTACTCAATTTGAAGCCAGCTACATAAGTAATTGAACAAAATGGTATTTTGTGAGTATGCTCAGCTATTTGTCTGTCAAACTTTTAAAAGCTGAAACCTTGTCACTGGTCTTCTGCCTCAAGGATGATGCTGAATGTTTGGCTTTCTTTAGAAACAGATTTAGTGCACATTGCTAGAGCATGCTGACATGGGAAATACAGGCATGGACACCAATGAGAGGGCTTTATACTTGCATTTCATCCCTGTGGCCATCTTGGTAGCTTTCCATGCAGATCTCCCTGCTACTACTACCCAGTATGGATAGTCAAGAGTGGGAAAGAAGCAGCAATTAATCTGTCAACCAGCTCTGTGGATGGAAAGGCTAGATTCTGCACCCTTTTTGATAAGTGAGTCCATAAGTAAGGGAACCCCAACTTCATACCCTGAACTACCTTAGCAGCAGCGATATACAAGGGTTCAGAAATCGGGCTAAGAATCACACCAAAAGGACTTGAATTTTCAGGACCTGCTTATCTTTGTGCTTTTTAGTTATATTTCGCTTAGCTTTGTATTTTCAAAAATCAAGGGGAGAAATCAAGAGAATGGCAGGACAATGATGAAGAAATGGTAAAGGAGAGACCAGGCTAGAGAAAGGAGAGGAACACAGTTTCCAGTTGTTAAGCCAAGACAAAATCCTTTCAGATTTCACTAAACTTTATTACCTTGATGACTTAAAATTCACCTATTGAAAAACACTAGGAGGGCCTTTTCAAGAGAGGGGGAAAATACATTCTCAGCTCCATTGCCCCTGCAATCACTAAGCCACAAGGCCTGCTGTCTGCTACACCACTTCTCTAGCTGCATGGAATTATCTCAATATAGACATACATTGTAGTCATCAAAGCAGCTGAAATCAGTTCCTGGGCCCCTGTCTCTCCACAAAGAATCAGCCATTGCAGAAAGGTAAGCACCAGCCATAACCCCACAGCACCTCCTAGGAGTAAACCCTATGACAACAATTACCTGAGTATACTTTTCACAAAACTCCAAATTCTATATTTTAACCTAGAACCTGAAAAAACAGCTTGTAAATTTAATGTTTCAGAGATGCAGCACTTTGGATCCTCCAGGTTTACATGTACATAATTAGTATCAAGATGAACTTCTAATATATGAGGGGTTTTAGCACATCAACATTGGGATGCTAGGAACAGAGACGGCAATATGGTCATCTCAAGCATTAACCATTACTTAATTAAGTTAAAGCCTAATGCCTTAACTTGCATCCCTCTGCAAGATCTGTCCAGATGTTCTGCGTGCCAAGCTGGACCACCACCTCTTCCTTCCCTCTGGTATTTGCAAAGTATCAGGGAATAAGAGTTATGATAGCCCAGTGCCTCTCTGCTACAAAAGCCATTTATATAAGGCTTACTATATCTATTCCTCAGGTGTTACAACTCCACTGAAATAAAACAGATACAGTAACAAAGGTAGAATTGCCAGTCATATTCATGATGTGCTTTTTCATTCAACTGTATAAATATTTACTTAGTACAATCCTTCTGAAGATACTTAGAAAGTAGCTCCAGTTCAAATCCCTGTTTCATTATGATGCTAAAAGGATATTCCCCATACACCACATATCCAAGCAGAAAGTATGGGTAAATATTAAACTTGTCCAGAGCACTGGGAAACAATTAGGAACACACCATATACATAAGCAACAGTGCAGAAGTGCCAGGCATTTAACTACCAATCTCTCAAGCTGAAGGATTTATTCCCTCATGGAGTACCTCTTTCATGAGCATCATTCCATAGCACAAACTGATCAACACTGCCAAGTCTCACAGCACATACACAAAACAACCTCTTTTTCTTTGTGTAAAGGTAAGGAGGGAATTAAAGATTTCTTCTCTCTACCCTGTATCCCTAGGATACCTAAACTGGTGTCTCGTGGGTTTCCAGGCAATTTGGCTACTTTTACACAGTTTTGGAGGGGAAGTTCCTTAAGGCTGCTAGTAAAGGAAACTCACCAGGGAGAACCAAGTTGAGCTCTTCCCATTGCTGCAGGATGACAGGATTATTTCTGTCACTTCATCTCCCTTAAAGCCTTAAACTTGCTTCCAAATTCTACGCAGCACAAGCACAGAGAGGTAACTGAGGTGCAGGGCTGCATCTTGTAAGACATTTTTCAGTGCTCAGGTGTTGGGTGGAACTGACTCCTCCTCAGTCATGGATGTAAGGAGACACAACAGCTCATTTGGCTCAGGGCAGTATGCACAAAGAGCTGAACATGGCCTAAGACAGTGGAGAGAACCTCTAACCTCATATTCTCAGAGCAGGCTTGGATTATATGTATCATGTAGAGATATCTGGCAAATAAAATTCCACCCTAGGGTCAAATAATTGAGCTACCTCAGGATGGAGGTCCCAGAAAACTTCACTTGTATTCAACTCCTTGCACAGATGCTTATATGAGAAGGCAGAGTTTTGCCATACAATATTTGATGCAGAACTTGATTTGTCAGACTATGGTAAAAGAAACAAAGATACATGGTGCTATAATAAGCTACAAGCAAGACTTCCAAAACTAATTTTCAAATAGAGAAAAGAATCCTGGTAGAAAATCATGAAGCTATTAAGCATTTTCTGAAACGATCAGGCAAAACCCCAGCAACAGCCAACCATGCTCAGTAAGAAATACACTAGAAGAGTGTGGGTCTCAGATTCAGTCAAAGAAAGAAACTGAGAGTTTCTAGCCAGGCAAAAAGCCTGGGAAAGTGCTGAGAAAGAGTGTAAAGAATTCTTTATATCTCTTGTTATTCACATTGTTTATAGTTAAGTTCTATCACTGTGCGTCAAGCACTCTGCACCAATGGAGTGAGTTGTTTTCACTTCAGAACCAATACATTTGACCCTTGCGAAACTGTATAAAAGAGCAGTGTATTTTGAATAAATCGGAGTTTTACTCTCAGCAGCCTTCTGAGTCAGAATCTATTCATTCCCGTCCTGCCTCAACAGTGACAGAAGAGTTCTTTTTAAAGCCATTTATATTTTCTTTGCACAAATATTGTTATCATCTCCAACAGCACGTTAAAACCCTTACTAAAAACATGATGTATAGGATAACTCTCTTGCAGTAGACTAATGACTATTGAAATTTTAACAGATAACAGCTAATTCAGAAATAGCACAGGAAAAGTGGAACAAGTTAGTGAACAATATCTGTTCTCTAACATCATACACAGAAGATGATCAAACCCTGATGGAGTCAGGAATACTGACCATTCTGATCATTATATGACTTACTGAATAGCAAAATATCCACTACCTCCTCTAATTGATATAATTACCTGCCTAATTATAAATCTTGCAATTTTATGTTAACCTCCTTCATGGCTGCTCAACTGTACAATTCAAGATGATACTCTGCAGCATGAGAACTACACTCCTATCTTAAGCATGATGAAATGGCATGGTAGTTACAGTATCCAGGCCTCTTTAAAAACCAGTTTCAGTACTTGACATCTTCCATCACATTATTTTCAAAATACAGCTATGTTTTAATTATTAAATCAAATAACCTGATTCATTTTGTAAATGAACGTCATTTGCAAAATTATGACATCTCTTTCCAAAAATGAAAGGAAACTAATTTTAGTTCCAGCTTATCAGTGGTCTTTGTAACTTGGAAGCTATAGTTTTGAATAGTTTATTATTTGCCTATTAAATGCTATTAAATGAACTTTTTGATTTACATTTAGCCCCCAAATTCCAATTTTTATAAATATAAGCCTTAATTGAAATATTTCCATGAATACAAATATGCTTTCAATAAGTGTTTGCACAGAAGGAATAAACTTTGATATCTCACATCCAAAGCTTCACAGTAATGAAAGCCTTTGGTCTTCCTTTACAAACATTAAAAGATTTAAGTGAAATGATTTGAGGAGGGAAAGTGAATTTTAAATTGTTAAACATGGAAAAAAAAATGGCAGTCCCTCTTGCTCAATTAATTTGGGTGAGCTTTTCTGGTTATAAGAGATGATTTAAGGAATAAGCACTAGTGAGGCCCATACATTTAGTTACTCTTACCTCAATAATATACAAAACCACATTTTTGTAGAAGCAGTACAGTATGCATTTGGTAACTCTATTGTAACTCCAAGCACCATGGACCAACAGTAGCTTCTCCAAGTAGGAAAACTGAAAGACAGAAAAGAAGTATTTACATACATGAAGAATTGCTAAAAACATTGGTTGAAGGTAAATACCTGTCCTCAAGAAAAAGTAAAATTTTCAACTCTGAAAGCTGAAGCACAATGTTTAAACAACTTAACAGAAGATATACACAAAAAAACAACTCTTAAAATAGTTAAAGCTAAAATCTTTTTTGTAGCAAAACTTCTGAAGGTTCTAAAAAGTGGCTTTAAGTGGCAAAACGTCTTCAATTGATATTACAATCTTGATGGTAAAATCAATATTTGAGGGCTTACAAGGTTCAGAATCTCCTTTCTCTGTGTAAAATGAACAACCTAATAATCAAAACTGTCTTGAGCTGAAATAAAATACACAAGAGTGGAACAAAAGTGGAAAACAGATGCAATTATAGAGAATAGATATTTAGATTAACATTTTTCTGCCCACAAAATGCACATGATTGCGTGTTTTATAAAGTTTTGTATAAAGCAAGGTACATTCGCCAAAAAGGGCAAGTAAATGAATCTTGTATAATTGTGTACCTTTTAATGCTAATTTGGAGTTCAAATTCAGAACTTTTAAAAATGGACTTTTATGGAGCCAGTGTTGTAATCCAGACTGGGAAATGAACAATTTTCTAGTCTTGGCTTTGTTACTGAACCTTTTTATGACCTGCACCATTCCTCTTTTGCCCAAATACCCACAGCTCAAAGTGATGACTGTGTTTACTGTTTAGCATGTATGTACCTGAAGGTAATTTTTAAGGTAATTTGCTTTACTTAATTTTCCAGAAAGTGACTTGACAGGAAAACCCTGACTTCCTATATTTAGATTCTAAATAATTTATTTTAACCAAAACTCATCTGAAATTGAAAGCTACAGTAAATGAGTAAGGGCTGTTGTGAGGCAGCTCTGCTCCCATGCTTTCCAGCAATGAAATCACTGAACCACAAATCCTGTAAGGACAGCCTCTCTCCCATGCATCAGCAACTTGGATTTGTTAGGATATGCCAGCAGAGAAGGAGAGAAAACAAAAGTGAACCAGGCTTCACTGTTCTCTGCTTAACTTGAGCTAGAGCTATAACTGGGACACTCCCAAGGGAGTAGCTGACCTGTTCGACCCCTAAATGCCTCAAGTTAATTTGCAGGAGAGCTACAACTTTCCTCATCAAAATCACTAACAAAACACCACCAAACTGATGGGAAACTTGCCATGATGTCCTTACAAGCCATCCCAAAGGTCTTGTGCAGAATAGTCAGAAACTGCCTGAGAATCTCTCTCTGCTGAATCTAACAAGTGAGCATCTTGAATGTGGTCTTCTTGAAAGCTCAAAGCAACAAAAAATCCTGCCATTATTAATTGCTCTTGTCTGTGCTCTCATGAAAATGAGTGCACTACAGAGCACACCAAGGAAGATACTCAGAGCCTAAAGAACACACAGAGCCTGCTCACCCAAGTGAAGAGTCCCATTAAGACATGGGAAAGATTTAAATCTGCTTAAGATGCTGATATTATGCAAATACACAGCTACTGGCACAGAGTAGTACAGACAAGGGCTCTACCAAGACATTGCCCTTCTTTGGCTGGTCCTGTATTTACAGCATTTTAAATCAGCAGGAAACATTATGACCATCTGGCCAGCCTACCTGTGAAACAGTGTGTGAGCTTTTACAGTTGTCTCTGTATCAACCCTAGCATAACTTCTTTTACACAGTGATTCTCTTCTAGACTCTATCTTGACTAAAGGATGAGGTGATGGCATGTTGGGAGTTTTAAGACAGCAAAAAGGCATTCACAAAACAAGCCAATTTTTCCAAAGAAGAAAACTGAAACAAGAACATTTGTTGAAGAAAGAAGCTTCCTTAATTAAGAAAAGGAAACAGTCCCTAGACAGACACCAGATGTTTTCTAGATTAAGATGATAAAGCTATCTACCGAGAAAAAAGTTATTAAAGTCTACTACTGTCTCTCTAACTAGTTAGGTCATTTGATTTGGGAATTCTCTAAATAGAGGTCATTGGTGCAATATCATTTCAAGGGAAAAGGATGATTCAAACAGATGCTCCTTGCACCTGTGGAAGCTATTTCAAGTGGAGTCAGACACAAGTTGGCTTTTTATTTTTGTTTGGTTTATGTTTTGATTCTCCCTGGAATCTCAAATGAGCCTATATAGAGACCCTCTCTTCTCTAAGTGCCTGCTTCTGGCAGCACTGTATTTGAAATAGCATTTGAACATGAGATGCTACATTACAGTGGTCGTCTTAAATTACTCAATAAGAACATACTCTGCCTTCAAGGCATGCACATACAGTAATGTTTTAGTGGGAGTTATATGTCTTCACTGAAAGAAATACACTCCACGGAGATCAAGTTTTTCTTTTGAACACTAATTTACTTTTTCTTTTTTTAAGCACATACTACCACACAGTATTAGTCTCCTCTACCAGAGGGATTTTTAAATATGTTTTCTAATTTAATCAGTACAAATTCTTCTACACAATCACAAAAAAAAAAAAAAAAAAACAAAAAAAACCCCAAAAAAAACAAAAAAAACCCCCCAAAAAAAACAAAAACAAAACCAAAAAAACAGTTCCACGGTGTTTCACTATTTTTTTAATGCTGCAATTTGGTGCTGCTCTTACCAGCTTTTATTTCATACTGAATGAAAAAGATTTACTGTTATTGTCAGTAACCTGCTGACTGGAATTTAAATGAAGAGCAGCTTCCATGTTCTAATACTAAACTGAAATACAGGGATTTTTTTTCCTAATGCAAAAGCAACACATGAACATGGAATGGAATTACTTCTTCGGACTTAGCACTACTGTGACACAAAAGAAATAACATATGTAGAGCCTTCTACAGACAAAACTCTTGCTGCTTATGCTTAGTGACCAAACAGAAGTAATAAATGATCTGAGGAAGTCCAGGTAAGGAGTATTCTATTAAGTTGTACAGCAGAAGCTATATAAAATCCACTGAAATTAAAAATGTGGAACTCATTAAGAGATACCAGAGACAATGGCTATGGCAGTCCCTATACTGGTATATATTTGGAATATGCTACTGTTTATGACAGAAGAACTTGGTAAAAATGCCTAAAATTCTCAAGATAGATTTTGTGAAAGGTCGCAGTTATTCAAACCTGAAGCTTCATGTTCTTCAGTGTTCTTCATCAAAGGTCAGAGCAGCAATACAAGACTGCCACTTTGCTTCTCAAAAGGGTTACCACAATAAACAGTTATCTGTGCATACAGCAGCATTATCCCTGCCTTTTCAAAACCTCACTTTCTACTGGGAGCTATCAAAGGATGGTAATATTTTACATCACTTGGTAGAACAAATCTGAACTACACTCTGCCAGAAGAGAAGGAACATCAGCTGAAGCTCTGGTCACTGAGGAGACAAAGGATTGTCTCTGCTTCCTGTCAGCTTGATCTGGTTTTGCCCTGCATCAATCTCAAACACACACAGCATCTCAAGTGCAAACAGTATGCAGAGGATATTCAGCAGCTGAAGCATCTTCTTCCTTTCTGATTTTTCTTTCAAAATCTAGGTTCTAAATTGTGGTTTCTTCAGCAAAACAAACAAAAAGGGCTTTTAACTCTTCTTTTTATCTGCAGTAATCAGTTCTGAATTTGATGAACTAGTTTAGGAGCACTGACCCAAATAATGTCCAAAATAACACATGTAAAATGGAAAATGCTGGCTAGCTCTCTAGAACTGTGATCAATTCTTGGATGCAACACAGTGAGTGGGGGGAAATAAAGATTGAGGAGACATCTCAAATGAGTTTGCCAAACAGTCAAATTCTCACATACCTGGTTATAGTACCAAATTATACTAAGAAAAGAGTTTGCACTAAGACAGATCAGTTACTTAAAAGCATATTAACACATGCATCACAGAAATTGCTTCCCCCTGATTACTGAAGAACCAAGATACTGTACAGTTGTCAGGAGGAAACTAAAACTTTGAAGAGAGGTGGGGCTTTGCCCTGAAGAACAATCATAACAAATACCCAAAATATTTCCAAAATATGTTTTAGACAGCTGCCTGGAAAAGGAAACAATCAGAGATGCTTCTAGCTTAGAAGAAGCCCATCGAGCACTAAAAGGCTTCACAGTGCATTTCTCAAAGATGATATGGCAGTTGTTCATTCTTGCATCTGACCTGTGCAATGGCATAATCCGAGCAATTGGTTGCCTGCATGCCCTCATTGCCACTGATCCCCACTCCAACATGAGCTGTCTGGATCATTCCTACGTCATTGGCACCATCCCCAATGGCAAGTGTTATGGCATTGACGTGTTTCTTGACCATGTCTACTATTTCGGACTTCTGTAGAGGAGATACTCTGAAAAGGAGAGAAAAAGGTGTCAGTTTCTCACATGCTGAGCTATGTGCCTTTCCCAAAAGGACAGCTGTAACCTACATTTAGAAGTAATCAAAGGCAGTTGCTGGGAAGTTCCTTTATTCAACAACTAAGCTTCAGAACCCGTGCCAAACTATTTCAGAAGAAAAGAGAAGATTTAAAAATAGTTTCACATTTACCTACTTGCTGATAGTTAATGCAAAAGAGACCAAATCTATATGAAAGGTTTCAAAGCCTTGTTTTCCTTACCCAGCCCCTCCTAACTGGCATAACACTGGTAATGTTTTACTGGGAACATTGAAGTGAATTTCCTCTTCAACTATGACAGTTTGGAGATCAAGAGTGCAAGCTTCCCTGCCTCCTGTCATCACCATCCAGAAGGAGAAAGACAACAAATACATTCAGAGACATTTCCAATGGTTTGCAAGAGATACTGCAGACTTACTTAACCATTTCTGCTTAACATCTTTATCAATGATCTCAATTAGAGGCTTGAACATACCCTAAGTCAGTTTGCAGGTGACACCAAGTTGGGTGAGAATATTGATCAGCTGGAGGGCAGGAAGGCCCTGCAGAGGAATCTGGACAGCCTGGATTGATGGACCAAGGGCAGTTGCATGAGGTTTAGCAAGGTCAAGTGCTGGATCCTGCACTGAGGTTACAACAACCCCAGGCAGCACTACTGGCAGAGAAACTGCCTGGCAGAAAAAGACCTGGGGGTGCTGGTCAATAGCACCTCAACATGATCCAGTGTGTGCCCAGTTAGCCAAGAAGGCCAATGGCATCCTGGCCTGGATCAGTGTGGCTAGCAGAAGCAGGGCAGTGACCTTGCCTCTGTACGTGGTACTCATGAGGCCACACCTTGAGTTCAGTTTTGAGTCCCTCAATTCAGGAAAAAACAATTGAGGTGCTGGAGCATGTCCAGGGAAGGGCAACAGAGCTGGGGAAGGCTCTGGAGCACAACTCTTATGAGGAGCAGCTGGGGGAGCTCTGATTAGTCATCCTGGAAAAAAAAACAGGGTACAGACCTAATCACCCTCTACAACTACCACAAACTATACTGAAGGGGGGGATGTCTTGCCCCAGGTAAAAGATGGTAAGAACAAGAGGAAATGGCTTCAAGTTGTGCCAAGGAAGGTTTAGATTGGCTATGAGGAAAAAACTAAGGGAAAGGGTTGACCAGTATTGAAAATGCTGCCCAGGGAAGTGGAGGAGTCACAATCCCCAGAGGTATTTAAAAGTTGTGTAGATGCAGCACTGAAGTTTAGTGGTGAACTTGTCAGTTAGAATTATCTTGAAGGACTTTCCCAACCTTAATGATTCTCTTCACTCCTCCAGCTGATCTCCCCATGTGCCAGACCATCTTTCCAACACCAGACTATGCAGGTCAGATCAGAAAGCACAAGGCCGCTTCCTGATCTCACATATGTCATGTTTACGCAACTCTGACCTCAGCAATGGTGTTACTCAATTCCAACTCCAAAACAAAAGACTGACTCCATTATATATGAATATTCTTATCAGATTTATTGGCAGTTACTTTAACTTGATTCTTCTCTCATTTGATATCAGTTTGAAGTCAATAAAAATTCATGGAATTCAGAATTGAACTAGTCTAAATCAGGCAAGAGTGGAAAAATCCTCAGGACTAGGTTTCTAAATTGGATAAGACACCCAAAATGCCCTTTTGTCATGGAAAAGGTAGATCAGGTTACCAAATCATATGAGGTATTTTGGAAATACCTACATGTAGATTAAATATTTCCATTCTAACCCCATCTGTACAAACAACCCTAATTCCTTTCCCCATCACTTTTAGTTAAAGTTCCAAATTATTTTGTATTTCCTTAAATAAACCTTAGACAAAACTTTTCCACATCTCAAGTCAGCCACATACCACTCAAAAAAAAAGTAACTGATAGTTAAAAGCTTTACTATTAAAATGGAAGGAGAATAGGGAGCTTGGGGAATAGGGGAGACAGAGGTTTTTTTACATGACTTTTTTTTTTTTCAGAGTTTACATCCTGTGAGAGCAACATAAGTAGCCATTTAATACACCCATCTGGATCACTGCTGATACTGTCTCTTATACACATCTAAGTTGTGCCAAGGAAGGTTTAGATTGGCTATGAGGAAAAAACTAAGGGAAAGGGTTGACCAGTATTGAAAATGCTGCCCAGGGAAGTGGAGGANAAAAAAAAAAAAAAGCAGAGTTATCTTTTTCAGCATTATGCTTTGTGGCCTTGGTTTTGTTTAGTAAATTCCTATACATAGATGTTTTATTAGTACATCACTCTTAAAATAACTTGAATAACTTTGGGACAAAGAAACTTGCTAAGCTCAAACTTCACATGTGAACTAAACCACCTGAGAAGTCTAGCAGCTGTCCTGTTCCTAAAAGACAAATACAGGAAAAAGTTGACTAAAGCATAAAATTTACTTAATACTATTGGATATTAAGCACTCCACTACCTGGCAGTAAAAACACCACTTGGCACTGTAGAGGCCCAGATAAATTACCAACCTATGGAGCATAAAAGCTGTTGGTTTTTAATTATGAGTCAGCTCTGAGTATCATCTACAGCAAATTTTAACTTTTCTCTCATACATGCACACACACGTTCCTCCCTCTCCCCCAGTACTCACATAATAAAATACTAAAGCATGGAGCAAGGAGTCAAAGGGACTTCAAGGGACTTTCCACTAAAATAGAAACTCCAGAGGGACTTGGGGCCAGCTGTGGAATGTTTGGATTGATAAGTGCACAGACCCTCATTACCAGCCCCAGGGGCACCTCCAGTACACAGGACCAAATACTTTTGGCAGTCCTCTCACACAATTATTTCTTCACAGCAAAGTAATGCACATATCTGCTAACAGCCTTCCCAGACATACACTTGTCTTGAAATTTCAACTTTTGTTCAATTACATTTCACTTACATAGCAATAGAAATATCTAAGAAGTGCCCTGTTTTCAAATATGCTTAAAAGAGCAGGGGAAGGCAAAAAGACAAAATATGAATAGCATCCCTGACCGTAGTTTAAACTAGTAGCTTGTCTACAGATACTTCAGACATGACCAGAATGTGGCAGATGCTCAAGCTTGTTCTAGTGCAGTTTAGCTGGGACATGTCAAGCAAGCTAATGCAGCCTGTGTTCACTTCTATGCCTACAGTGTAGGTGTGGTTTCAAATTTTAAGTCAACTTTGTCATTAGCAACCAAATGAAATTAATTGCATCCACAGTTATGTAGCACTCAGTTAAGATTTAACATCCCTATATGCTTAGTAAGGCTAAACAAACTACCAGAAATTCTACATGTGCATTTTAAACACCACAAATATTTATGGACTTGGTTTCAGAAGATGAAATGAAAGACAAGATTTCAGCACAAAGTGTTACTTGATTTAGCTGTTTCTCCCAAACAGCAGCTCTATACTTGATTGCAGTTGTTTCTCCTAAACAGCAGCTCTATACCAAGCATCCTCTTTGACACTTGAGCAGCAAGTACAGCCCACAACTCCAGAGACCACATTTTGTTGCACACAGTACATTAGCTACAAAAGCTAAAAATTGAGATGATTACTGATTCCTGAGGGGTTTTACACCTCTCCTTCCCCAAGTCACTGACTCAGCCTCCAAACCTCTTTTGCTCCTTGTAATCTGTTTGGTACCAACACACTGCATTAGGTGACATTAATCCCCTTAGCCAGATGATCAGAGCTGTGGTACAATTTTGCACATTTGATAAGCTGCCTACAGGAAGAACTGAAGATTATAGCACAGAATACTATTAAACTGCAGCTCCCCCAGGTGTAGCCAAGTTCACAAAGATTATGGATAAATGCACAAGTTCAAAGGAAAAAGCACAAGCAAAGAAATTTTTCTTTGAAAAAAAAATCTGCAGTGACAGAATTGGTACATATAATTTGATGGAAGATCCCTGGCTATCACTGCAGAGCTCATTGCAACAGTATCAGAATGTAAGCCTTGCCTGGGTATACAGCCAAATAAGAACTAATATATGAATAAAGCATCAGTTGCATCAAAACTTCTGCTTACTCTTGGATTCGTTCCCTGGTCAGACAGCAGTGCTTCTTATAAAAGTTCTTTGAGAGCCACTCAAGAGTTCACTAAAACATTTTTTCGTTCATACAGAAGTTATTTTTATTGCCTCTGATCAAAAATATCTTTGACAACAGATTGATTCACCTCTGTACACATATTTGAGAACAAAAAGAAGTCAGGTTTCAAGTACCACAACTATAGTGATGGCTACAATCTGATAAGATCACGTCTTCAGATTCTTGCTCAAACTCTTTCCCTGACAATCTGAATTGAGCCTACACAGGCTACAAGAGAGCCTGAGGTCAAGACTTCACCTTTATAAAGTGCCTATCATTCAGCATGTGTCTGTGCAATACAAAGTATCCCTGGTTGATGGCAGGGACATATGAAGTCAAGCGTCAGTCATGCAGCAGAGCCGCACCTTGCCCACCTCTGGGGCTTCCTTCTGGTAGCTTTGCTTTCAAGACAGCAAAAGCTAATATGGAAAACAGAAAGCTCTTGTCAGTCTCAAACCTACTTATAGTATTTATCATCACCTTTAACAGATTAAGACAGAAATGGCTTTTCATCCTGAAGAAGATGACTGATGCCTTCATATCGTGTTGCTTCCTCTGTAATGGGTAGATGCAAGAGAGGGCACAAATTATTACAGACCTAATTATCCATAGGTTACTTAAATTCATAAAGAAACCGTGAAAGGAGGCAGGGAGTGAGTATTTTTTAGTTAACAGCATACTGAATTATTATATTAGTAAATGCTTTAAGGTCCTTCTTGAACTTTGAGGAGGCTCATGAAAAAATAGCAGAGGGCACAGCAGAGAGCAGTAACACAGATGTTTTCCCACAAGGATGTCAATGGCTTCCCACTGACTTCTGCAGATCAGTTCCCAATGGCCTTAAATACTTAGTTTGCA